GAGTTTGACACCCGTTTTAGATGTTTATTTGGTTTATTGGTTCTTACTCCTTTCGGTTCCTTACACAATGATGACAGGGAACAGCATTAATAATAGGGCATGCATCTATACATATGTAAGATTTTTGTGATCAAGAAAACTAACAGAAAGTACATATTACAGAAATTATTATAGTAAACAATATGGAAAATAGACCACAAATATTTACCATAGCTCAATTATACACAATCTATTCAAATAATTCAGCCTTTTCTGTTTAAACCATTTGTTGTATCCTTTACTTGACAGACACTAACCCTAACCCTTATGATCTTTCATTAGACAACCCAAAATTAGCATCTTCAAAATTAATTTGCCTGGCATTATTTGTAACATAAGCTGCTTAAATCTTGGCAAGCCTCTGCAAAACAGCTGCAGTTTGGAGAACATCTTTCACCGACTCTGACCTTTCATTCTTATGAGGGAAAACTCTTTGTGCAGTAGGGATCCCTTGACCCCTACTTTTCAACATAACTACAATCATGCTCACTCAAGAAAATATCATTATCTACAATGGCGAGGATTAAGACATCTGAAAAGCATAGTTATAACTGAGGCCATTTTAACCATGCACCTTCTTATGAAGCTGGCTAGCATCTTGGTTTTATTTTAAAAATGATGATGATAAAGTGCATCACGCAACTCTGAATAAATCTTGTATTAACATACAATTTGTTGATTACAAATAATCAGGAACTCAATTCTGGTGGGATGGCAAAGAGGGGTTTTAGCTCTCCGTTCTTGCTCTTCTACCCAGAATAAAAACAAAGCAGGCAATTTAGGGAGGGGAGAGCCTTTCACCCTTCCAGAAGAGACTTGCCCACTGCCAGCAGTCTGACAACTTTTGAGGGCTTAATCACAAGGCAGCTTTACAAGATGCTCATCTGATAGCTTCCCTCCATTTTCCCACCATAATGCCCTGTTAAATGACCTCAATAGAGTGTACCAAGCCATTTCAGTTTTTCAAAGCAAAATAGGAACTAGGGATAACCACACGCACGCACATCTTTACTCCTTTGGATAGATTTCTGGGTAATGCAGTGACCTCTTCAGGATACTAAAACGGCCACATTTTGCTCTCTAGGCAGCAGGTTGCAAGGGATCTTTTTTGACAACTCCCTTTTCTCACAGAAAGAGGGCAGCAATGCCAGCAATTGCTTCATTTGGGGGTTACAAACAAATATTTTTTGGAATAACTGATGCTCTTTTAATATTTGACCACCTTTGTATGGAAAGAAGCCCACACTGAAGCAAGAAAGACGTTTAAGTTTCATGGCCACCAGGTTTTGGAAACTATGCCATTTATTTGTTAATAGGTTTCTCCTGTGCATTCAGCCATTAACTTACCTCTTCAAATTTATGAATCTGACGGATGAAGAAATCCCCATAGCGTCGAGCGACTTTTGTATCTGCAATATGGATCATGTCCTGCCAAAAGGCAAATAGAAGTTAGCAACATATCCGGATTCTGCTAGGAGACATCTGCTGGGTATTATGTCTGCTCTAGGCTGGGATTATAGGGTTTTATTTTTATATTGCCTTGTATCATGCTATAAACATTATACGCTTGTCCAGATAAGAACTTGCTGTCGTGAAAATGAAAACAGACTTGTCATGTTACCTGCTATTATCTTAGTCTGGATTTAGTCTGATTGGAGGTTTCTATCTGAAGCTAATGCCCCTCAGAGAGGTGGCCTAGTGATCTGGTCTCACAAGGAAAGGGCTTCAGAGAAGGACTGGGCCCCCATCTCTACTACTATATGGCCCCTGAGAAACAGTCAAGGCAAGAGAATGGTGGGAATATCTAGTTTTTACATTAGTTTCCAACACAGATTCATCTCACATGTATAAAGGAACTCAAACCCAAGAGAGGATGCTAAATGAGTTTGATGGTGATACATTCCAGCCATCCTGTTGACTGGAGTTCAGTACGTCTAAATAATATTAAGTTCAGGTACTATGTACTATTGTCAGAAGGGTTGGAGAAAAGTCAAACCTTGTCAATGTAAAAGTCCACCTCAGAAGCTGACTGGAACTCTCCATCCAAGGCAGAGATGCCACTTGTCCAGACCAGGTTTTTCATTTTGTGCTTGAAGACCAGCAACTGGATGCAGAATTCCTGTTCTGTGAGATCCAAGAAGCCGGCCAGTTTAGTCACAGGCATAGTAGTGTAGAGTTTTAGGAAACTGCGGATGGTGGACAGCTGAGCTTGCTGCTGGACTTCATCAGCAAAGACTTTCAACTGCTGCAGGTATGGTTCTTTATGATAATTGGGATGCACATTGTCGTAGTTGGGTACCACGGGCGAGACAAATTTGGGACAAGCATAGCTGAACAGCTCCTCATATACCTGGGGGTCTCCCTTCTGCATTCGTAGCATCTTATCCCCATACTTCTCTCTAAGCTGCAGGTGAATGCTTTCATCAATGCGCATTGGATACATGGCAAGAGCAATGGCCAGAAGAGCATGCATCTGCTCATTTTGTTTGTTAATCTGAAAAATAAACAATTTCCATGAGAAACGTTAAAGATAAATTACTCTTTGCATCTAAGAAGATACATGTGTAGCGGTTACCAGCCAAGTAACACATCATTAAGTCTCACTTTTGCTATAAATTCATGGGTAGCTTTCCAAAGTAAAAACTAGACAAGCAAACATAGTGACACACTAATGGAAAGTAAAAGCTGCCCTGATCCATTAAGCTCCCTGAACATACAGTTCTAGTTCTGCATTTCTTTGATTAATAGACCAAGTCCTTTGGATAATGGGGTCTTGTTCATTAACATAAAGGGACTTTTAAAAAGCGCTTTGAAATATACGTATATTGTATGCTGCCTATTGTCCCCCTGCACCCCCCTTTATTTGAACATTTCAAAAATAAAATCCCAAAGAGTTCTCAGCTCTTTGAACATTAACTTTGAAGACCAACCCAATAAGGAAAGCTACCTATGAGAATTCACCACAGAAGTGATTACCATATTTAAGAAAATACCAGCAAAAATAGGAGGAACTGAGATACCATCATAGGCCTATGCTGGTGGGAATGTCACCAGACAGGATATACATTAACAAAGAGTACAAAGCTTTGCACAACTCACAATAAGGAGCCAGTCCCATAGAAAATTTTGAAAACACTATCACTATATAGGAAGAAATGGGAAGGGGAGAGGGCATCAGCAGAACAGCAGCAGACTAGGGAAATAGACAAGTTAAATCAAATTATCAAAAGTGTCTAAAAGTGAAGACTGAAGTTTGATATACCTAGGGCAAATGAAAAAGATCAAAGGATAAATAGTCTCCTGAAAGATTTAATCAGTTAAATACTGGATGCATCTAGTGGGAACTATTGATGCCAGGAAGGACAATAAGGATCAGCTAAACCAGAAAGCATTTGCAATTTTTTAAACAAATTGACTTGAACTGAAAGCTAAAAGATGAATACAACATACTTCTTCATATCAGTGAAACAGATTCTGATAGAATTGTGCTGAAAGATCACTAACGCTATTAGCAAATAGGAAAGAATTTTCAAGGACAACTCTTAGAAAGGAGGGTAGAAACCTTACAACATTTTACCATTTCATATTTGTAAGTTGTTCTCTGGAACATGCTCTTGGTCCTCTGAATATACAGCAGAATATTAGCAAAGACACGGATTGCATCTTGGTAGCGTCGCATCATGAAGTATGCAAAACCAACATAGTAATAGGTGGTAACCTGGCATTCTGGTACTCGTGAGTACATACTCTGAGAAGGGAAAAAGGAGATATTGTTCAGTACACAAGACAGGAAAATGTTACCAGTCTCTACAAAGAGTGAATAGCGTCATTCCCAAAGCTATAATATAAGGACTTGACTCCACATGCCTTCAGTCTATAAAGATCATGTGGGTAAATGCAAGGTAATTTCAGCAACTTTAAGATGTGCGGACTTCAATTCCCCAAATTACCCTAGCCAGACTGTTTACAATTTACAACTGCAATTAAGCCCCAAATTTCTGTTGCTAAGTAAGATTGTTGTTAAGTGAATTTTGCCCCATTTTACTACCTTTTTGCCACAGTTGTTAAGTGATGCATGGCAGTTAACTTAGTAATGCAGTTGTTAAGTGAATCTGACTTCCCCCTTGAGTTTGCTTGTCGGGTATAAAAGATGAACACATGACCTCAGAACACTGCAACCATCATAAATATGAATCAGTTGCCAAGTGTATGAATTTTGTTCATCTGACCATGGGAATGCTGCAATGGTTCTAAGTTTGAAAAACAATCATAAGTCACTTTTTTCAGTGCTGTTGTAACTTCAAATGGTCACTAAATGGACTGATGTAAGTGGAGGACTACCTGTACTGCCCTAGTGTCTCTAAAGTACTGCAGCACAGTACCTCCTTATTCAGTCTTAACGTAGCATTTTCAGAGAGATAGGCCTGTTAAGTTCCTTGCAGCAAACAAAATGAAGAGATATAGAGTACCTTAAACTTGAGCAATAAGACATTGTTATTTTAAACCAATCTATGATTTTAAAAGCAAACGTATTCAGCATTTTTAACCCAAACTTGTTCATAGATATTTTGAAATAATTATCACCAGCTAACTGGCAAAAAAAAGACAAAGATACAATTTTTTCTCTGATTAAAAAGGTACGATGTAACAACTTCACCATTGTAGAGATCTTTTATTACAACCTTCCCCAACTCTGTACTTTCCAGATAAGGGATTTGATTCTTGACAGGAGAGGTCTAAAGGGTGCAAGTAGCTGTCAAGAGAAATCATGGCAATCCTGTGTGAAATCACAGGGGCTGTTTATTTTCAGCTCAAACACAGCCAAAATTAGATGGGGCTATATATCTATACAGATATATGTTACTGATTTTCTTCACATTAGCTTGTTTTTAGTATACAACCTATATGATTTATTTGGAAATCAGGGGAACAGATTTGGGGAAAAGTAGGTAGTGTATGAGGGGAGAAGCACAGCTAACAGTCACCAGAGAAAAGAAGTAATTTTGGAATCTCACTGTACGGTTCTGAGACATTCACCAGGCTGACGTCTATGGTTTAGATAAAAATTTTGCAGAACATTTAGCATCCTACCAAACAAAGTTTATATATTTATATAAATATAGCTGTCTAGAGCCATATTCAGGAGATGGGTGGTGATATAAATCCATGCAAATAAATAAATGTTCCAGAAGAGAACTGTTCTTTTAAAAAAGTGCAATTTTTAAACCAAAGGTGGCTCTCTTACCTTCTTGTTAAGCTCAATATTTTCCAGAACCTTAATGGCTTGATAATAATCACCCAGCAATGAATGAAGGCGCAGCAGACCCACAAGGCTAAAATAGCCCAACATCTTATATAAAGAATGACGACCGTATTCTCCAGCGACGCTCTCGGGGTCCCCTAAGGGGAAAAAAGAATTTGAAACTATATATGTGGACTCTAAATGCAACAGTGAATGAAAATGAAAATTTCAATCTGCCAGCTTGATTCCTGATCAGAATGAAATAGCTGAAGATTCACAATCAGAATTAAAATGGCTAGACCTTCCTCATGAATAAATTACTGGATAATTATTATTGATAACTGACAATGGCAAAGCCCACTCATTTTAAAATATTTATTTCCTTACCTCCGCTGGTATAGACTTCCAGTTGCCTGTTGATGTTGGATTTGTCCACTATGGAATATAACACATTAAGAACACTGTGGACATTCCAGATCTTAGGATTTAACCTCAAGAAATCAATTTCTTCCTCAGATTTCTTGGCAGTCTTGCAGCGATACTGACTGTAGGACTGAAACTTTACAAGGAGATAGAGAATGCAAGAGAAAATGAGGGTGGCATTATTTTTCTCCTTGGATTTTTTTTTTTTACATAACCAGAATAAAAATGAAATGACTGAATAAATTGGAATTACCCAAAAGCAAAAGTGGGAAAGAAAGATCAATTTATCGATGAGTACAAATGTTATGTTGTATTATAACAAAACCAAACTATATACTATTTTACAAATGAAAATAGTAAAGTTTCCTCAGTGCTAACCAGAAACCAGATTGCAGCCATAACAATTTGTAGGAGGAAAGACACATAGTGTGAGAACACTGAATAAAATTACAACTTACCACAAAAATATTATTCCAAGTCACTAACAATAGGTATATTCCTATCCAAAATATACAGTATATAGTATACATCAAACTGAGCTGGTATTAAGCAGAGTTTAAATTCTGTCCAGCACACAATGTCCCATATAAATTGCAATCTTACATATCAATATAGAAATAAACCGCTCTTTCCATGCATATATATAACTGGATATCTATAATGTTCCAAGACCCAAACAGAAAGATATAAGCATTCCAGCCATAAAACATCTGGAAGTTTTAGTGCTTTGAAAAGTGTTTTGCAAATTACTTGCATGTTTAGCATTTGATTCTAGTGATCTTTGTAGATTTTCATCATTATTTAAAAAGGCATGTGGAATTGACATAAGAGAACTATCCATTTTTATACCTGATATATAAATTCATCTATAATATCCCAGAGCCATTGATTGGGTAGTTCTAGAGGAGCTGGACCATCTGCATCTAGAAAGGAACATTCATATAGAATATATGGAATGAATAATACAAAGCAAAGAGTCTATATGTTTTTATTCTCCCCGCATCTTACCAATAAAAAGATAAAGAGGAAAGCCTGGATTGCTGACTGAACAGTTCCAAAGACAAGTTAGAACCTAACTTTATAGTATTATTCTGCATTGTGCCAAAACCCACTTCATAATATAATTTATTTACCAATTTTGGGAGAAAATCTATACATTGCTGCATTTTCCAATAGACAATTACTTTTAATTCAAATTAGATCCCACCATTAGTTAATAAATACTGAATATTTACTAATTTAACTAGAGCTTGCACTGTTGCTTGTTTTAATTTTACATACTTGCATTGTTTTCTAGGTATTCTAAATAAACATTGTATCATAGCAAATCATGTCCTTAACAGAACAAAATGTAAAAAGGAGAGGAAAGGCCAGAGATTACAAAATCAGAATGAAGATGTGGATTTTTCTTTAAAAAAAATAAAGATATACAGTATTAACAAAAGGGGTCAGAGAGTTTCAGAAGGCTTCCAAAAAACAACAACAACACCACACTTAGGAACAGAGTTATATATTAGGATGGTAACTGACTAAATATTACTCTAAATATAGAAGATATATTCTTATTACCCCTTGTACAATACATAGAATTATATAATTTTAGAGACTCACTAAGAATGTAGTTGAAGAGATTGCAGTAATTGTAGTAAGATTCAAATCTTTGTTCCAGGGTTGGGCCACCCTGCAATAAATGAAGAAAGAGTAAATAGTTGCCTAGATTTCTGAAATGAATGAATACATGATCTCAGAGTTCTACGTAAACAGAGCAATTGAACAAAAAGTAAAGGCACTTTTCATTAAGGACAATCTAAATCTGATACTCACACTGACTTTAGCATAGATGTGTCTATAATACAACTCCTTGTACAAAATCAGGAACACAGCATCTACAATTAAAGAAAAGCTATAAATCACTGTATCTGAAGTATTTGCCTTTGATTTTTTCATTCAATTGGTCAAGTATTTGATGCAAGTGAAAATAATAAAATATACCACAAATCCAAAAATTTCCTATAACAAATAAAAGTCAAAAAATTTGCTGCAAAAGCATATCAACATGATTCTTTGGCAAATGAAATTTCATACACTATCTGAAAGTTAACAAATATGATATGCTACGGTAGAATATGCCACAAATACATTTTCGTCTGAATACAGTCTCTCTTGCTAATGAGCAACTGAGATATCTCAGAATTGGTGATCGTACACTGTCATTAAGATCCATTAACTGCAACTATAATAAAAACAGGCTATTCTTATTTTGATAAAAACTAATTGTGTTGTATATTTAAAAATACAGTATTGTACTATGCTATATAATCTTCAAGCATGGAGTGGTATTGTTAAAAAAATTATTCAAGGATACTGAGTGATGCAAATAGGAAATATAGTTAAGATTGGAAATTTCTTCTGGCAATAAAGACCCTCTAATTTTTTGAAACTATAATATCAACAGCTTAATACAATAGGGTAGAATGCAAAAGTTCAAGGACAATATTTTTTTATACCACCTCTTAAATTTATCACAAGTTTCATCATTTCAGTACAAAAAACAAGCCAGGTATAGCTACCATAAAAAAGAATAAAATCTTCTGCTGAATCTCATTTTTAGGCTTATTATATAAATGTTGGAAATGTGGATCAGATCGCATGTGACATATCCTGTTACATTAAAGAAATCATTTGGAATTAAAAAAGTTCAATGCAATGCAATTCTTAATCTGTCTTCTTCAATATGTACTAGTTCCCTTCCTTTCCCCCCCCCCCCCCCCAAAATTCCCCTCCCAAACCGGGCCAAAAGTCAAAAAAACGTTTTTTATTAAAAATTCTTACCATTTCCAACCTGTGGTGCAATAGCCTCTGCTTCTGGCCACGGTGTGTTTTTAAAGAACCTTTCTGTTAGTTTGGTCCAACTGCAATACACATAATTATTTAGAAAATAATGGCATGACTATAATAAACCCATATAACAAACTACCACAATTTACACGCCTCCACCTCACTTTTTGCCAACTCTACATATGTAAAGATTTCTATGAAAAATGTGGTAAGAAAGATGCTAAAAAACAAGATTTTTCAATGGCATGTGCTATCATGTAGGGAGATAGCATATGTCACTGAAAAATCTTGTTCTTTAGCATTTTTCTTACCATTTTCCTCATACCTGCATAATCTTTATTTCCCATTATATATTCACAATTATATAGCTATGTATCACTTACATTAATATTTTATGTCTTTAAATGTAATTGAACCACAATAAGAACTAGCCATACTGATAATTTTTGCCCTGCCCTTTTCTGAAGCAAATGAAACCATACCTGTTTTCATAGATGTCTTGGATCTCATATACCTTCTGATCAATAACATCACTAGATATGCGACTGGCCTGAAGCTCATACACTTTCTGGTCAATCAGATCTGAAACAGTCTTATGAAAGTACTGTATAAAATTTTTAATCACTTCTGGAATCACCTGAAAGGTTTGCTGTTCATATTGCCGTTCATAGGCTAAATCCTGTTTTGGATCTCCTATGAAATACAAGTTATAACAACTACATCAAAACATAGTATCAGAAAGATATAGAATAGCAACATTTTGAATCTTACGTTTAAATGCATGCATCTGTTTTAGAATCCTCATTTTTAATAAAGTTCTTCAAATATGAACCTGGGCAGATGCCAGGAAGGAGGAATGAGAAGAGAAATGATAACATATTGATGATAATGCCGGCCATGCAAATACCATTATTTTCATACTTGCAAAAATATATTATGAAAATATATAATAGCAGCATTTGCATGATGATGTCTGTCTGTCTGTCTGGGGCTCACAGCCCATCATAGGCCACTCAACACTGGCAACATTAGGGTTACTGTGGAGGCCAACAAACATGAATATTACTAAACAAGACAACAGAGGTTGGAGGAAAAAAAGCAAATAGAACAAAAGGCCCTCAAAAATGTTTTTGGCCAACGGGTTTGGGGATCCCATGAATTTGGGGACTCTATTAAATGTGATGGTTGACTAGATGCATTCTTTGTATGCTTTGCTGTCATTCAGTCTTATTTCTTGGTTTTTTTAACCTTGCTTTTATATTGTCTTTATTCTAATTTAACTTGGGCTTTTTAATAGTATTTAGGTATTTTGTTCTGTTATGGATGCTATCCAAAGTCACAATGTGAACTTAAGCCATAGTATTATTTTGTATCTAAGTCATTAATTCAGAAACATTTTTTTCTTAGTTAAAAATCACTTTCAACTGGCAGCTTCAGAATACATATATGTTTTTTTTCCCATTATATTCTTAAACTATCCAAAGAAGTAATTTATTTTGGGAGAGATAACTGCTCTATAATTACCCAAATGAGTTCCATAACTGAGTGGACATTTCAATTTGGATCTTCCCAATTCAGTCCTGATAACTTTAAAAATATTTATTAAATTAAATCCCATTATTCTTAAGCAAACCAATCTGAATAAAACACCTACAATAGATTACAAGAATGGAAAGTACAAGAATGGAAATGCCTAGTAGCTATTTTTGTAGCCATATTTTTTAATATTTAGGTTCTACTCAATTTTTTTTCACATTTTAGCCTACATCTGCAAATTAAAAGTAATTGGCAAAGAAACAAACAAGGAAGAATTAAAGTTGTTAAACCAAATATAGGTCAAAGTACTTTCTTTCCATAAGAGACAAATATCAAAAGTTTAATACACAGTTATCCATTTTTTGGTAGAAATTGAATAAAGAAATGGGCTGGACTCAGAAGCACTTCTGAACGATACTGCCACTGTGTCTGTAGCACAACACACATCTCTTTGCCTCCAGTAACATAAACTCGAAGTAGCAGGACCATCAACACGAAAGTATACGGACTCACCTGTGTGTAAATCATAGTCCCCTGTATAAGCATATGGGTCGTAAGAGCCCTGCGAAAAGAGAGCGTGGAAAGGGAAGGCTTGAAACTGGTACAGATAACACGGTGGAACATGCTTAATCGTTGCCCCACCACCACCTCATATGTGAACATCCACGGCTTTGGAAAACAAGACCCTTCTTCTCGGCTTTGCTTTTAGTGACGACTCAGCAACCTCTCTTCCTTCCACTACACTGAGGCACCCGCCCATCCCTTTTATCCGAAAAGGCCAAGTAAAAACCACCCTTGAAGGTCCCAATTCCCACACGCCAATCAAGATCGCAGTGAACAGATACGCAAAGTTTGTACCTCCTCGTAATCGTCCACCGGATACGACATGGCGGGCTTAAGAGCACGAAAAAAAGAGAACGCACACCGCCGAACAGCCGACCGGGGTGCAGCAAACAAAGTCTTCCGGTCACCGAATGTGTGGAACTTCCCTCGTAAACCGGAAGCCGCCGGTGTAAATAGTCCGTTTGGCGGACAACTTAAAATACTGTAGGAATGAGAGGGACCGTTGTTAATCTGCTGGTAATACGACTAAGTAAACGTACTACATTTAGTGTGCGTTATAACGTGACGGCAACCACGCTTAGAAAAAGTAGTGCATTTGATACACTACTGTTAATTGTGTTATGAAAGAAATGCGGGTTATAAACCTATTGAGAATAACTGATCTCTTGTTAGATCAAATCAAAGGACCCCCTAAAGCGTTATCTGATCTTCAACATTGATCATCTAGTTGCAAGATCGCAAGCAAGGTGAAAATGTCACAAATTTCCATTGGTTTTGTGACCAGGGATGGGGTTTGACAAATGTCTAGAGCAACATTAATAACCACTACACAAGAATATTGCCTCCTAACCTGAAGTCAATTTTGTTTTCATAAAACATTCATTAGATAATAAAAACAAATTTCTCACTCACAATTGCAACTCAAATTAATTCATAATTACTAAGGAATGGTAAAAAAATATAAGAAAGTATAAAAGTTTAGTCACAGCTGAGACATTTCTGTACCAGTATTTTTATAAAAGTATATTCTTTGCCCTCAAAGAGAAGCAAAATAATTACAGAATACTTGTTTCCTGAGAATGTTCCTGTACAATTTCAATAAGAAAAAAACATTCTACATCTACAGAGGAAAAAAATTAACAAATGACACCAAAAGTTAAACCTATTGTGTTTCTGTCCTGTGAGGTATACTTGTCAATGCTTAATACTACATTTATAACAACCAATTGTCCTTGAATGTAAACCTTTTATTTTAGTTAGAACAAGATGTAGACATTACAATCTAATGCCTGGAAATAATATCTTCTCTCAACACTGAGGTTTAAAATTTGGTAAATAGGTGTGTATAATTTATATCTGTGGCAGTGTGCTTTGCTATTGTTTCATTTTGGGGGTCAAGTAATTACAGTATCTTCCCCGCTGAAATGCTTTCTTTTCTATTTTTGCTGCCTTGAATAACATTATTGTATTTCTCAGAGTTGCACAAGTACTATATTATCCTGGGTATAAATGAGGCTTCTAATGAAATGTTGGTATGCATTCTGCACTTCTGCTCAGGATGGTACAGTAGTTAAAGCCTCCCCATTTGCAGATTGTGGATTCACTTCCTTCCCTTGAAGGAGTAGCACCATCCTTTTCTGCTACTTGGGATGTCCACCTACCCTTCTCCCTTTTCACATTCAAATACCTCTTAATATGTAAGGTGTGCTGTTTTGTCTATGTAATGATCCACATTCGAAAGTGCATTTTATTCTAATATATAATGCTTATACCCTCCCCAAAGAATGTGCTGGATTGCACATCATCTTCGGCCAGTAATCAGCACCGACTGTGAGCAGAAGGCCCTCCATCTTTCCAAGCTTGCGCACAAAAGCATCCGTTCCGCATTCTATTTGGCCGTAGACCGAATTCTCACCTTTAAGGACAAGATGAGGGAAACATTTGGGGGCGGGGGAAGTACGCTCCCTTGCCCGTCATTCTTAACCCGTCGCTTACGGCGTCCGACCGCTCCTATTGGCTGCTGCTTGCCTTGTTCCCTTCCTTTCATTTCTATGGTTACGCGAATTTCCCCGCCTCCCGTCAGCGAGCTTGGGCTTTCTGGGCCCACGCTCGAAGCGAAGGCTTGGAGAGGCGGTGGGGAGGTTGTGGGTAGCCGCAGGGATGGAAGGCAGTAGCCCCGGCGAAGCCAGCCCGGCCGATGCCGCCAACTTGTTTTCCCTGGCGGGTCTTGGCGTCGCCTTGCAGACCTTCCCGGAGACCCCGGACCCGGCTGCTTTGGGTTACTTGCAGCTGCCGTGGCAGAGGGAGCACCGCGTGTGCAAGATCATCAGCCGCCGCCGCAGAGACGCCCGGCTACACCACAAGGTGGGCCCGCTGGGCAAGGAGATTCACGGTGAGGTGCTGGCTGCGGGGCTAGGCGGGAAGGGGAAGGCGTTCTGTTTTTTACCGGGCCACCAAAAGGCCGCCCGTCCTCTCCTTACTGATCAAGGAGAGTTCGACCTGGAAATAAGAAATTTTATGACTGTGAGAGCAATCAACCAATGGAACAGAAGTTGCCTTCAGAAGTTGTGGGAGCTTCGTCATTGGAAGCTTTCAAAAAGAGACTGAACAACCATCTCTGTCAGAAATGGTGTAGGGTCTCCTGCTTGGGAATGGGGGTTGGACTAGATGACCATCAACGTCCCTTCCAACTCTGTTAATCTGTAATCTACCGGAGCGGCACTGGGAAGGGGAAATTGGGGAGCTTCAGTCTGGGGCTTTGTCAGGAATTTAGAGCTCTTCCAGGTAAAAGCAGCAGGAGTTTGCTGTCAAATACAGGTAGTCCTGGATTTACAACAGTTTGTTTAGTGATTTATGATCCTTTTTCACACTTACATCCCCATAGTCATATGATCAAAATTCAGATGATTGGCAAGTGGTTCATATTTATGACAGTTTCGGAATCCTGGGGTCATGTGATCAGCTTTTATAATCTTCTGACAAACTAAGTCAATGGGGAAACTAGATTCACCTAACAATCGTGTTACTAACTTAACTGCAGTGATTCATTTAACAACTGTGTCAAGAAAGGTCATAAAATGAGGCAAAGCTCACTTCAGTGTCCCACTTAACATAAATTTTGGGCTCAATCATGGTTGTAAATTGAGGACTACCTGTAAATACGGATGAGGGACTAAACATTCAAGCAAACACACTTAGGTGTGGACACATAATTGTTCCCTTGATAATCCAAGGCAGCCTTCCCCAACCTGATCTGAACTCCCAAGCTGGCGTTTGTAATAATTGCCCAACAACCTGCCTTATTGCAGGGTAAAGGACAGGACTTTTCATAATAGCTCCTGTGTTTTGGAACTGACTGCTCCTGCCAGGATGCTTGGCTTATTTTAACAAGCCAAACTTCTTACAAGAATTAATTGTACTATTATGGATGGTATGATTTGTTTTAATGAGGTCTTATTAATCATTGTTTTTCTATTGTGTGTCATCCAGAACATGTTTGATTGGATTGCCTACAAATATTATAGATAAATAAATGGTACTGGGCTGTATAAAAGAAAAAAATGAAATACAAGCATGGCTCAATGGTGTTACATTTGAAATAATTTTGCCCATCAGACCTGAAGTCACCAGAATTCCTGATTTTGTATTAAAAGAATGAATGTAGTTTAAATTGTGAATAAAATGAGGTAGTTTGTGTTATAAGTGAAGGATTAAAAGATTTGTGATGAATAAATGAGAGCAAAGCAATCCAGTTATAGCAGTATTAATTGCAACTTATTGCCAGGAAAATTTATAATGTATTGAAGCCTGAGAAGTTTGTTTTGTTTTGTTCTGTTTTATGTATTATGGATAAATAACTGCAGAAATGTAGACAAAGTTTGCTCACTTCTCAGAGTAAAATTTTGAAGAGAAGCAAATTGTGAAAACTTTGTAGACTCGTGTTCCTCTCTTTCCAGATACAAAAGGATCATTAATTCTTGAAAGATCTTTTCAGTCAAAATCATATCAAAGTCCTCAAATTACGAGAAAAGAAAAATCAAAATTATTGGGCTCTGCCCATCCAGGAACATTGTTGAAAGGCCTCCTGTGGCCAACTAGCCATGCCCTACTTGTAAAAGATTATAAATTCTTTCTGCCAAGGCAAAGAGAAGGTCTGTTTTGTTGTTGTTTGCACATCTAAAATGAATTTTAAGAGGTAAAAGATACCTACAAAAAGTCATGCTATCCGAATAATTGTGAGTCCACTAGCTAGAGGTAACATCACAGTTCCTTAGATGTAAAACACTGCATTGCTGCCTTCCCCCAGTAAAAGATCACTCTTGAGGAGAAGGTGTGGATTGTGCATAGTAAGAGAGTCACAAAACCTTTGTTTAACCAAAGCTGATGTGGTTGTGGTTGTTTTGTTTTTTATAAAATTAAATTGAGAAGGAAATAATTCACTCTCTTTTTCCACAGCTTTAAAAAGATTGAGAGAAGCTGCTAATTCAAATGATTTGGAAACAGGTAACATTGCATCTGTCAAAATTTGATCTTTAGCCCCATGTATTTCCCCCTACATAGGTTCTGTTAGAGAAATATGGGTCTTATAAAATGACAGGCTGTAAACAGGAACGGTTTATTTGAGATGAGAATGTTCAATACACTGTATTAGATTCCTAAGAATTCCATTGATACGTAAGCTTTTACATATATATGTGTGTGTGTGTGTGTGTGTGTGTATGTATCTATATATCTATATATCATCTATATCTATATATCTATATCTATATCTATATCTATCTATCTATCTATCTATCTATCTATCTATCTATCTATCTATCTATCTATATATATATATAGATATATCTATATATATATATATCAGTAGCTTGGAGGAACCTCAGGTGGGCTTGAAAATGGGTCTGTTAACAAAATGTTAGTTTCATACACACACACTTCTTCTACCCAGGTATTCTTTCATCTCCTAGTTTCAATTAAGTCTTTCCTAACCAGTTCTATCTTATTGTAAGACGCATATAATCATTTCAAATAAATTTGTTTATGGAAATGTTGGCTAGAAGAAATGCAGAGGGCTAGATTTCAGTGCTTTGCTAACCCTCCATCTTCACTCTCCTCACTTGCCTGCATATTTAATTTCTTGGCACACAGTTCCTGATTGCCAATCAGGATTACAAGATGAGTACATTTACTAGAAGGTTACATTTGCAGGAATATGAAATTTTTCTATATCTCTGATTAACCTATATTAAATATCCTCCTATCTCTAAACTTTAGCTGAAATCAGAAGAAGTTTAGACTTAAATTTGTCTGAAGAGTGTAGTGAGATATTGGAATATTTGGTATTTTGTCATTTTTTTTTCAATTGAACAAGGAAGTAAATTTTAAATAAAAATA